TGGTCGATGGGGGTAATGAGACGACTCATTCCCTCCTTCCCGGGATGAGTGTTGCCGGGAGGGCCTCCTTCTTGGCTTCTCAACTTGCCGGGACACGTACTCCATTCGAGATCCATCATGCCCTGAGTGTACGAGCATGGTGTATGGCACCGAGCATACAAGCGTCTGAGGTGATAGCTCCTAGCGTGCTCGACCTCGTGATTGTGCATACACAATGAACCACGATCAGTTGGCATACACAATGAACCTACAATTTCAGAAAATTTTGTAGAAATCTCAAATTTATATTTTTATTGTTCAAGGGTTGTCCTTTGTTGAGCGGGTGAGGTCTGTGCCCATCTTTGGATGAGGCTTCGAACTGAGGAGAAGTCTGCTGCTCGTGAGGGAGACCCTCAACCGCCGCTGTCGCTCGAGCTGCCTCCATCCATGGCTGTCGCCGGACGGAGTTGAAGATGAATCCCTGTCGCTGAGGTCAGCCGAAAAGAGCTTGTGCAGTCCTCGGTTCGTACGGATAAAGGAGATAGAGAGCGATGGCAAGGCTCCGTTTGCGTCACATGTGAAACCCGCTCGTCAATCCCAGGAACCTCAAGCGGCCATTAATGGCAAGGCTCCGTCTGCGTACGCCGTTGCTCAGTTCTCCCGGTCGTTCGTCGCACGGGTTCTCCTTGGTTCAACCTTGGTGGCTGCGTATCCTTGGGACCTAATCTGGAAAATTTCATATCTGATTTTTGCTCGGATCTCTACCGGTTCCTACCAAAAAATGAGAGATGGCTCTCAATGAAAGCACCAATGTTAGTAGAAAATATCTCGGGTAGAGAAATTAGCAGCATTTCAGTATAGTAAAAATAGCGTAGAGAATACAAGGGGGTGATGGCCTATTTATAGGCATCCATCACAAGTCCAAAGTCTAATCTACGTGGGCTTGGCCCAAATACATAATACATGTCCAAGCTAATGGGCGAACCGGCCCGATAAATAAGTAAATGAGCAAGGAGTGATTCCCGCTCGTGAGACTGCGTCTTGGGCCTAGTTGGGCCAAAGCTCGGGGATAACAGGTCGATGGAACTGGGCCTGGCATATTATCCCAACACCAACTTTTGAAACAATGAAAATGTAATAACATTTTTGGATTAATACAAGTTCCATCTTCTCATAAAAAAATCCCTTAAAATTCACCCTGTCTCTCTATTTTCCGAATAAGCTGTATTGTAAGAAATAAAACCGTGTATAAATTACCAAAATTATCTCACGTGATCCTATCTCTTCATATACTCCGTATGTGTTGTCCACATCAAATTGAATGCTATGTACTACTTCTGCTCCCAAGTCCCAACCAATTGGTCAACGTTGCCATGTGGCTTCATATCCATTCCCCATCACGCATTCATTTTGGATTTGGTGCTTCTGTCAATGTGAGGAAGATACCAAGAACCCTTAAGTGCTTAACTACTTGATAAAAAATTATGACTACACATTTGTGAGCCAGTTCCACTAAAAATTGCGTGGTTGAAATTTGTGCAGAGCAGAGAAAAATGATCAGAATCACAAATTAGTTATTTTGATTGAAAATTTGGCAAAGTTTAATAGGACAGAGGAAGTATGCTTTTTTGAAATCTGATTTGTTCCATTAAAGGTCAGTTATATGTGTGTTATATCTATGCAGTGGGGGGGAGGGGATTACGACTCACGAGGGCCAAATTTTGGTTTTATCTATTTAAGTTTAGTTTGATCTAAAATGAAAAAAAATACAAGTCAATAAACTCTTAACATGTGTACAACATCTCGAGTTCGTATATAGTGCATCCGGGTGTACGTACACCCGGCTCAAGTAAGAAAGATGCCACAATCACTAATACAAGCTAAAAAAAATTCGGTGACATATTTGTAATTTAAGCGAAAATTCACGGCTTTCGCTAAATGAGCAATATTTTACGTTTAGTGAGCATCCAACCTATTTTATTGAGTATACGAGGCTAACAATGAGTAACACGGTCTCAACTTCATATCTTCTAATTTTTGTTCTTTTTCTTATTTTTTCTTTTATAAAAACTTATTAAATTATATTTATAATACACTCTTATGAATTTCAATATGTAATTTAGTGTAATATGATACTTTTGAAATATGCATTGTTATGACATTTTAAAATGAGCATAACATCAATACAAAATGAGCATACGTAACTTACAAAATGTTAATTGATATGAAAATCGTAAAGTTTGTTAGTTTGACATAACGACGTTTTCAATGAGCATCAAACCTTATAAGATCATTAATGAATTTTTAATGAGAATCAAACCTTATAAAATCGTAATGTTAAATGAGCATTAATGAATTTTTAATGAGCATCAGACCTATACAAATGAGCATATATAACTTATAAAATGAGCATTGATATAAAAATTGTAAGTTTTGTTCGTTGAGCATCAAAACATTTTCAGTGGGCATCAAACCTACGTTATTGAGTATTAGAATCGTGCTATTGAGTACCATGATCTGTGGTCTTGTGTCTATAATCAAATTATATGTGAATCTAATGTAATATGAGACTTTTGAAATATGCATTGATATAACATTTTAAAATGAGCATAACGAAGGTACTAAATGGACATGATAACTTATAAAATGAGTTTTAAAAAATTCAAAAGCTAATTTGTGTATGTCCATTCTTTTTAGACACTTTATTTATTTGAGTTTAAAGTAAAGCTCATTTCTAAGATGCTCAGTATTAATATACGGAATATAAAGAAAAAGAAAGAAGGAAACAAGAAAAGAAAGAAACGAAAAGAATAAAAGAAAAAAGATAAAAGAAAAGAAAGTAAACTAACTAACCTAAAAGAAACAAAAAAATAAAATCAAAAAGATAAAACACAAAATGTAAAACAACTAGCAGGAAAGATCAAATAGAATGACGGTTGGAAAAGAAAGAAAAAGAACGGGGTAGCTGAAAAAGAAATAAAAGGAAGGATGACGACAGAAGAAGAATCAAAAGGTTTGAAGTTGCAGGAAATTGCAAAAATACCAAATTTTGGTTTTATCTATTTAAGTTTAGTTTGATCTAAAATGAAAAAATACAAGTCAATAAACTCTTAACATGTGTACAACATCTCTACCATTGTTGATCCACTATTACACGAGTGTTTGGATGTGATTCTTAAAACTGCTTATGTTCCTTTAAGAAGCAGAGGTAGAAGTTGAAGTATTTGTGTGAAAGTGCATAAGTACTTCTAGTCCTCTAATTTATTCCTAGAAGCAATTTTTTTAGAAGTTAGGGGAGAGCAGTTCTAAAAATTGATTTTGATTCTGCTTTAAAAAAGAAGCAGAAGTAGAATAAGTTGCAGAAGCAGAATGGTATTTTTTATTCTATATTTTTAATTGCTGGTTGTGTTTCAAATGATAAGGGTATTGTACTTTTGAAAATAAAAAAAAAACACATGGTTTATGACATCTCAAATTTCAATATTTTTAAAAGCGAGTTTCCTTTGAAAAAATAATATGCAAAAATAATATGTACCTTGTTACCTTGTTGTGATGATTTTACTTGGACCGTTTTCAATCCCACACTATACCATACTTAAACAGATCAGACCAGATCAGACTTGACTTCCGTAGTTATAGATATACAGAGACCAGACGTTTACCAGACAAGATCAATTAAAACTAAACTTAAACAGAACAGACCAAACCAAACTTAAACAGACCAAACCAGACCAGCAAATTAAAGTCCAAGTAAAAACATTGTACATGTATTAAGGAGAAGCTTGTACAAGTATTAAGGAGTATTTGATTCAATTGTCGTGTGTTAATGTATGGGAATTGAATCAACCCAGCCCCAAAACAAAACCAACAAATAATGCAACCCAGAAACAAAAAACACGCTGTCAACCACTTACAACCTCACCAGTCAAAATCTCTACACAAAATGTGATGAAAAAAAAAAATTATTACCAAAATGTGATTAAAATTGGACCGTCAACCCTACTTGGCTAGTTTGAGAGCTCGAGAGTTCTCAAGTAGGGATGAACTTGGACCGGGTCAACCGGACCAAAACCAGCCCAGCCTGGTACTGTTATGAACCAGCCCGACCCAAGGCCCGGGTCCGGGCCACGTGCTTTATACCCGCGCACCGGGATTTTTCGGGGCAGGCTCCGGGTCGCAAAAAAATGAATCGGCCGAACCAGGCCCAGTTCAGGCTAGACTTGGACTCAGGTCGAGCCACCCGGCCCGTGGACTGGCCCAGCCCGCTACTGTGCGGGACCGGGACCGGCCCGGTTCTCGGGTCCAGGTCGGGCCTAGGCCCGTGGGGTAGGACGGGTCCGGGCTCGGGTCTCAATTTTGGTGAACCGGCCCAGCCGGGTCAGGCCCGGGCCTGGGCCAAATTGAATTATTTTTATTTTTTTTTTCATTTTTGGGGTTCCACCCGGGTTGGGCTTGATGGGTAGGATGGGTTTGGGGGGGTTTGAGAGGGTGGGGGTGAGGGGGTGGGTTAGGAAAGCAAAAAAAAAACCCAAACCGAAGGCCCGGCCCGGACCCGGACCGGACCCGGGTCCATCATTCTTGAACCGCCGGCCCGCCCAGGCCTAGGCCCAACCCGGACCCGGCCCGGACCCGAGTCCACCCCTAGTTCGGGCCTTGTTTTTCCAAAATCTTTGGAGGGTAAATGGGTTAGGCTGGGTGTTTTGGACAGGTTTGAGGTGTTGGGGGTAGGAAGTAATTAGAAAACCAAAAAAAGGTACCCGATCCAAAATTGGCCTGGGCCCAAACCAGACCCAATAGCTACCCGGTCTAGTTCCAGGTCTCAACAAACCCAAAAAAAAGCTCGATCAGGCCCAGCCCAACTCCATCCCTATTCTCAAGTGACAAAAAAATCATCCACATTGCAAACAAAACACAATTTAATTAATAGATTCTAGAACAATGATAACATTCACCGATATCAATATTCTTGTGTAAAAAATGACAATTTAACAAAATAGTAATAATAATCTCTTGTTTGTTTACTGGGAAATATTTACGAACAGATGGGCTGGCACATCTTAAAACATTTTCAAAATTGAAATGTGGTACCAAAAATCAAAATTGTGTCTTGTGCTGTATAACTGTACAAAAGAAACATCCACAACTACAAGTTAGATATGGGAGTAATCATAACAGCTGCATAGCTGCATGTCTTCACCCTGCTTGGTTGTTCACCCCCAAAGCGAAGATGGGCAAATATAACCCCAATGAACATGAAGACAATGTATTGCAAAGAACTAGGCAGCAGCTATGACAGATACTGGATCAGTCTTTTGATTCAAAACTAAATTACAAGTGTGTTATGTACAAAATGATACCTAGGATAACAAGCCAAGAGAATGACATTACAAACCAAAACACAGTGTATTTAACCAATCCATAAGTCACAAAAGTAATTAACCCCAGTGATTTAGTTAAAACAAGTGGATGCAATTAACAGCAAAAGTAAAAAGATTCTCAAATCCACTAATGTTTCTGGTTTGATCAGTAAGTTTTCAAATCAGAAGAAAAACATACTCACTACATGTTCATCCTTTTCAAAATCCTGGACTAGGGAACTTGAACAAGGCATCTTTAATTTTTAAGGAACTTGAAATTTACAATGGGAGCAATCATCTCCAAAGGCGGGAAACTATCTATGTAAAACAAACAAAATCACAATGGATAAATGGGATATGCAGCAATGACCTCCAACTTCCATTATACTTACATAAAGAATTTTTTAAAATTAACATCTAGAACAATAGAAAACAAAACGAAAGCCAAAGCACTCCGAAAAGATAATGAATTTAAAGAATTATGTTACATCCATCTTGAATCTGTACCCACAAGTTATTGATAATAAAATGACACAATCAGGCAGCACCAGATAACATTAATAGATGTCCTAAAGAGGACATCTAATCAATTGACCTCAAGACTTCCCCAAATCCATCTGTGTGGGAAATTACTAACCTGTCACCATATCCAGATTTGGTCACAAAATAATCAGTTAGAACTTACCAGCAGAATAAGATTTGTTGTGTTCATTATTACCTCTCCAGCTCTGATTGGCAATCTGAGAATGTGTCGAACCTGATGCGCCATGCATTCCGGTCCCCACAAATCCATTACCAGCAAAGCCCATTGGGCCAACACCACCATTCATATAAGCAGGATAGAAGGCAGTGCTACCACCATAGACCAATGGGCTTCCCCTTGGCCCAGTCATTGAAGGGACATTCCAGGGACTCCTAGGTTGGAAAGGAGCAACTCCATAACTAAGACCACTGTATAGCCCACCAGAAGGAAATCCACCTCCAAGAATTCCTGTTCCATATGGATACACAGCAGCATTTCCATATCCTGCAATGTGCCCATAACCAGGGAAAACACCATATCTAGGACTATAAGGTGGATAGTTTCCATGCTGGTAATCACCAAAGGGGGAAGTGCTTCCACTACTTACCCTTGCATTATTATATCCAACACCACCAAGACTACCATCTTTGGGTACCGCCCTCTTAACTTCCACCAGTTTGCCACACAAGTCATGAAAATTCTTCTGCATCACTTCCTCAACAGCATCCTCTGAGTCAAAGGTAATAAACCCAAACCCTCGTGGCCTATGAGTCATGTTGTCATGCATCACAACTACATCTGTGATCCTACCGAACCTTTCAAAGTAACTCTTAAAGTCTTGCTCAGTTAGATTGGCCGATAACCCTCCTACAAAAATCTTTTTGGTCCTAAATTGATCATTACTCCTATTGTTAACCCTACCGTTTCTAATCAACCCCCTATTCTGCTGTTGCTCACTTTTTGGTATGGCTCTTTTCACCTCTACCTATAAAAATAAAGACAAAACAATAACTACTGATCATATAGATAAATGAACAAAATTTCATTTTTATAACAAAAACATGGCCAACGTTGCTTCACAACAAAATGCAAGTATAAAAGTGCCGTAGCAGAAGAAAATCTTAATTGCCCTTGGAAAATTTCCAATCTTGGATATAAGAAATTAAGCAAATAATTGAAAATTAAGGACGTGAAAAATATATCCACAAACTGATCAAATCCGCCATCCAAACATGGAAAAAAGGAGTTAAAATCCAAATACAGTAACAAAACAGCCCATCAGGTAACAAAAAAAAGGACAAGAAAAACCGCATACAGAAAAAATTGAAAGTATATAATAATAACGCGTTAAAGGGAGGATCTGAAGACACACCGTTCTTCCGAGAATTTCATGTGTATCTTGTAGAGCAGTGTCTACAGATGACGAGTCGGAGAAGGAGACAAAAGCGAACCCTCGAGGGTTTCCAGTACACCGATCCTTAGCGATCACAGAGCTAACCACAGTTCCATACTTTGAGAAGTGCTCCCTCAAGGTCTCGTCGGTGGTCTCCCACGAAACTCCCCCAAGAAACAGCTTGTTCCGGTCCGGATCCTCCATCCCCTACGAATTGGACGCCCTAACCAAAATGCGAGATAGGAAAAGAAACCCCAAATTGGGAGGATTTTAGAATATGAACCCTAATTTTTAAATCTAGGGTTTTACGAAGTTGGATGCAGCACGCTTTTTGGTTATGACACTAGCCCGCTTAGTTTGAATGGGTCCTCTCCTACTTTCAGCCAGCAAATGGCGCTGTAGTTCACAAATTTAAACCGTCACTTGACTATTTGGAGTGACATTACACTCTAAATATCAAAAATTGATTTCATCCAAATGAGATGACACCTCATCTTTGAGATCCTCCAACCTCGATCGAACGGTACGTTGAAAAGATATAGATTGAACTATAATCTCAATCTGACCGATAGAGAGTGGGGCTCTGTCTTCGGTATTTACAGAGGTCCTATGCATTTTAGCATAGTAACCTCTCATCTAGGAGAGATCACGGGTCAGGTTCGGGCGGATCGGGTCTGCGGACATCAAACACGTTCGGATTTTTTAATGTTATTCTGGAACCCAACCCACGTAGTTTGGATATCGGTTTTTTCGAATATTAAATAATCGGTTAATTTTGGATATCGGTTCGGATATCGGTTAGTTCGGTTATAGTTAAAACACATTGAAATTGCATTATTAATTCATTAATACGAACTGTCAAAGTACAAAATTACTAATACAAAAAAGAGTTGGTTCATCTTGAATCCAACCCACCGAGTTGTTTGCATAATTACAAACTAAATTACTTAGCAAACCAAGCACAAAGTAACTAAGTACTTAAATTACAAACCAAGCACAAAATAACTAAGTAATTAGACAGCACATTGCAAAAAAATATAAAGTATTTCCATAGTTTACAAAGCATAGCAAATAGTGCAAAACCAAGTCTCCTTAACTCCATTAGTTTCCACTAGACCACTACCCCATGTCTCCAACTCTCGAAGTCTCCTCAACTCTTAACTTTGCACATATAATAAATCACAATTCAAATATTATCGATGAATAAATGCATAATCACAAATCACAATGCACAAAGTTATTACATATTGGTTCAGATTGCTTCTTGTCAATTCAAAACCAATTGGGGGCATCCAAAGTAGATGTTGGTAAGTTTCAAGCCATCTCATTATGTAAAGATACATTGGAGGCCAAATCCAAATTACCACCAACTACTCCTAATACCAACCCAATCTTATTTCAGTATATGGTGGAAGCTTTAATCATAACCAAACGGGGCAAATGAAGAAGCAGTTCAGTTGTCATGAAAAACAAAGGGGCAAATGAATAACACCAGAAATTGAATAGAGGTTGTGGATAGTGGAAGACATCCAACACCAACACTTCCAACACCTATTGTTAGTCACCTTGGTAAATCATAAATAAGCAATAGAAACAAAACATGGCAACTTTAAATATTAGTAAGAATGTAAGCTTATAAACTTGTAATAAATAAGTAAACCATTAAGTTAACTGGTGAAGGATCCACAGAAGATCCAGAAAAATTTTCAGTAGCAGCACATGTACCATTTATTAAATCTAGAAAAAATAAACACATCTGTTAAGGCATACTCAAAATAAATATACATTAAGCACATGTAAAATATAAAATAACTTGTTTCCAGCCTCTCAAGTTCATCAATATTTTCTTCAATTGAAAGATGTTGGTTTTGTTTTCTCAACCAATCTTGACAACATATCAAAGTTTCCACTATTTAGGAGACAATGAACTTCTAAAGCAATCTAAAACTCGGCCACTAGTACTGAAAGTGGACTCAGAAGTAACTGTGGAGATGAGAACAACAAGAATATCTCTAGCTATTTTTGGGAGTATAGGGAATCTTTGACTATTTAATTTCCACCATCTTAATATATCAAAGTCTTTATCTTCCTCAAGAATAGTCTCACTCAAATAAATTCCCAACCCAGTTTTTTCAAGCCCAACTGTCCACTCTCTAGTTTCTGTTTTTTTAGTTGTGCTTTGAATTTAGAGATTGGTCTTGCAGACTCAGGCTCACAGATTACTAAACCAGCAGGAGTTGAGCGTGATTTAGAGCTTCCACCAACACTATTTGTGTAATTACTCGCATAATCTTTAAATAACTCAATCAGAGCAGGTTTGATACTTGCAAAATATTTCTCACCTTTTTTGCAGTATACAAAGCATTCAACTGAAAGGGCAGGTATTCAAACTTGTGCCTAGGGTCTAGAACATTTGCAAAGAATATGATAAAGTTCATCTTTTTAGAATCACCTCAATACTTATCGAGTTTGGATTTCATAGTAATTCCCATGGTACTTGTAGATGGTCTATCTGACTTCATCAAGTCCTGAAGGACCAGAAACAGATCAGACACTTCTGAGAAGAAAGTATTAGAAGTAACATAGAGAGAGCCTGAAATCCCGAGTGTCATATCATAAAATTTTGAAGAACTGTGACCATATACTCACAAGAAATCCAATCCATATTATCTGGAGCATCAACACCCAAATCAACCGCATAACTGCTTACATTCTCCTCATAAGTTTCAAATCCTTTTCATTAGACAAAGCTAACTTTAGCATTGGGTATGTGGAATTCCACCTAGTTGGAACATCAATGTGTAATCCACATTTAGCTTCCACCCCAATTAAGTCAGATATGTCCTTAAACTTTTGAAGTCTAGCAGGTTAATTCCTAACATACCTAACTGCTTCCCTAACTCTAGTCAGAGAAGTATCAGCTTGTTTTAAATCATCTTGAACTGCCAAGATTAGAATGTGGGCTATACATCTCATGTGAAGATACTGGACTTTTACAGAAGAGGCACCTTAAGATAACAGTTTTTTCTTGAAAAAGCCTACAACCTACATGCTCCATCAATCATCATTCACATATGCATAATCATACATTAGACAACCCGTTATAAGATTTCAGAACAAGCCTCATGCTCCATCAATCAACAATTCAACATCATTCACATATGCATAATCAAACATTAGGCATATTGCATTTAACTTTAAGAATTCAGAACAAGCCTTAGGCTACATCACCATTCCATATGCATAATCACACATTAGGCATTAAGAATTCATATATAGGATACTTAGTGAGTGAGGAGCAAGGATTCATATTTCACCACAACTTAGAGACCACATATTATTAAGCATGAACATATCACCATCATCATAGATTCATAGTCACACGTCAAATGTATAAGGGTATTAAGCATGAACTACATCATCAACATCATCATACTATCAATTTACCAAACATTCAAATACAATCATCATCTAGGTCATTTGCTTCCACAAATCCACAATATAATTACATATTTACATCATTTATATGAAAACCGTAGATATAAATACATCAGAGTCAGAGACGAAGCGATAGACTACAATTAGGACTGAGAACTACCAGAGTTAAGTTCAGAACTTCCACCAAATAGCCAAATAGGGTTTAGAATGATCGAAAAATGATTTCCACCGATTAGGGTTTCAGTGTGACTGTTTGTCTTTCTGTGTGAGAGCTTCCACCAAAATACGAAATAGGACTATAGGATTCTCATCACTCAACCCTCAAGTAGTCAAGTGTAATTGAAGAAGGAAATCAAACACCGAGAGATTAGAATAAGGTCTGGACTATTGAAGATTGAAGACAGAAGCGAGTTAGAGAAAGGATAGAGCGAAGAGTAGAAGACAGATCGAAGAGGCGAATAGGGTTAGGCCGGGTAGAAGAGTTATACGTATGTATATATATTAAATCCAAAACGACGCCGTTTTGATATTTTGGATTTTCAGGCGGATCGGGTTAGGGTTTTATAAACCCTACCCGCAACCGGTTACCCGCCTTGGCCTGCCCAAAGTTTCGGATATGGGTATTCGGATCGGATATTATCCGGAAAAAATTTTGGGTTTATTGGGTCAGGTCGGGTTATGCTCAGCACTACTCTCATCGCAGTTGCCAGGATTCGAACCCGGGACCTAACCCTTGTGGCACTTCCTCGCTACTAGTTGAGATACGCCCATCGGTGACTTCGTCGATATGAAAACAGTGTTTTGACTCCCATTTCTCTGCATTCTCGCAACGTTAATAAAATACATTCTGCATATTTTTTTACATATAAATTTAGTAAAACATTAATTAAATTATTATAAGTAATATTTTAATTTTAATTTTTTCTCTAATTAATTATAAAATAAAAAAGACACATTTCTATGTGAACATAAATAATTTTGATTAATATTTGTAACGTTTTTTGGTTAACAAAAAATGAATTTAATTCAAGTAAAGTTTGATTATGGAGTATTCAATTATTTGCGAAGGCTCCATTAATTAAAAATTCGTGTTTCGTGATTTTTGGGGCTCAAGAAAACTTTAACAGTTAAAACTTTAGATTTTTTTTCATTTTAGATACTACCTCTGTCCCTAAATGTTTGTCTTACTTTCGCAAAATGGATGCCCCAAAATGTTTATCCTACTTTTTCAACTTCCTTATTTGGTAAACAAATTTATACCAAACAGTGTCAAACAGTGCAAAATAGTGCCAAACAGTGTCGTTACAGTGTCAAACAGTGTCGCTACAGTGTAAAGTCAAATTCATTTCATTAAAACTTGTGAAGCCAAAGTAGTACAAACATTAAGAGACGGAGGGAGTATTACATATTGGTGTCATATGAAAGATCATAAAAACATATGAATTTTGATATATTTTTTTGAAATTTGAGAAAAAGTAAAAAATCTATATAAGTTTAAAAAAGATTGAGATATTATGATGTAAGGATGACATTTGCATGATGTCATGCAAATGTCATCTGCACACAAGCTGGCTGCCCCAGTCCCCTTCATTTTTTTTATATGGCTCAAGAATCAGGTCCATTATGGTGTTAGGAAATTATGGGGAAAATGAAGGGAAATCAGAACCGAAGTGCGGAAAGGCTAGGGGTTGAGCCCAGGGCCGGCCCTAGGCCAGAAAATATTGAAGAAGAAAAAGTAGACACGATTTTTTTCTTTATATATAATGTCATTAGGCTTCATTTTTGTTTTTAAATTCAATTAATAAGGTCTAATATTTAATTTATGTTGATAATTTGATAATGTTAAAACATAAATAAAAAGTCTTGATCGGGGCCGCTCTGATAAGTTTAAAAAATAATACTCCACCCGTCCCATTGGAAGGGTCCTGTCCACTTCTCTCCGCTCAACGTGA